GTGTATGCAGGTACCGACATCTGCCATACCCAAACAAGACGACAGACCTCCCATGCGCATCTGACATCCAATAGTGTTGTGGGCGCCTACCATCATCATGTACCCATCAGCGTGGGCAACAAGGCTTAGAAGCATTCGTACTCTCCCGCTCTCACTTGTAAGACCATCCCCTTCATCCATAAAAGGGGATGCGCTCTCTCCCAATTAGAAAGGTTGATTCAAGTTCAGTCCCTTTAGATTCATTAGATCGACCAAGTTCACCAGTCCACAACCGTAGAACCGCCAGGTTCGAACCTCAAGCGCACGCTTGAACACATAGCTCGTAGCGGAGCTCCTGTCGCTCTCGGCCCTTCCGACCGGAGCCGACCGGACCTCTTGTACACCACTTCTTTCTCCTTCTCGTTAGTAACCCCACTGCAGACTTCGAGCACATGGGCTCAGGAATAAAGTCACCGACCGACTCAAACTAGACGTAGGGCACCTTGCCTGAACCAGTATAAACCCTGTGTCATTGAGTGCTAGGCCACCTCCGATCACAACGTACGACAAAACTACAAATATTTACTAGTTAGTCACTTTCTGCACCGACACTACATATCTCGCCAAAACTTAACATTTGTACCCTCAACTATTCGAGAGTTCTTGTTCTTTTTTACTCAGCATGAGGCCTATAATACTTTGCTAAATTGCAAGAGATTCTCAACTCCATTCCAGTGATCTATATCTGGACTGTACTTCTGTCAAAATATCTCATATACGCAAACTATGTCAGGGTAAGTTCTTACTTGTAATTGTACACTCATCAAGCTTCCAACAGCTAAAGCATATGGAACCATGTTCATTTGATCGATCTCATATCGGTTCCTGGAACACTTCAAGTTCCCAAATCTATTACCCTTGACTATAGGAGCAGGCGTAGGTTTACTCGCATGCATACTTTATTTCTCTAGAATCTTTTCTAAGTATGCCTTTTCGATAGTTCTAATACCCCATTCTCTTCTATCTTGGTGAGTTTCGATTCCTAGAACCAATGATGCTTCACCAAGATCATTCACATTAAAACTTGAGGACAAAACTTCTTCTCCAATGACAGATTAACATCACTACTAGTGAGTAGAATGTCATCTATTCATAGGATGTGGAAAATGAATTTTCCATTCTAGAACTTCGCATAAACGCTTTTGTCCTTCTAATTTTCTTTAAAACACAAACTTTCTTATCGTTTCATCAGGTTCAAATACTACTGTCTAGAGACTTACATTTAACCCATAAATGGATTTCTACAGGCGGCATCCCATATGTTCTTTTCTTTCATGACAACCTTTTGGGTTGTGCTATGTAATCGTTTTCAAATAAATCCCCGTTGAGGAATGTCGTCTTTACATCCATCTGATGTAACTCTAAAACGTAATGTGCCATTAACACCATTATGATTCTAAAAGAATCTTTACATAAGACTGGAGAGAAAACTCTCATTGTAATCTATTCATCCTCTTTGCGTAAAGCATTTTGTTATAAGTCATGCTTTATATCTTTCTACATTTCCTTTGGAGTCACATTTTGTCTTGTAGACCTACTTATAGCCTACTGTTTTGCCTCCATTAGAAATTTTATCTAAGTCCTAAACATCGTTGGTATTCATCGAATTCAACTTTATATAGCTTCTTGCCATTTAAACGAGTAAACGCTTCTCATGGCTTCTTCAAATAAGGTGGGATCACCCTTTATTTAAATTTCTTTACTAACATAGACTTCATAGTCATTAGAAAAACTGGTTTACTAATTCTTTGAGACCTTCTAGGGCCTCAGCTACTATCACTTTTATATGTGGCTGTTGTTGCTCTTCATTGCCAAGAGGCAATTGATTCTACAGGCTCCTGTATCACAAGATCCTTATTTACATTATTCATCTTCTTCGAATAGCCAACAACAGGTGTTTTATTAGTCATACAACATCAATAGGTATTGAGAAATTCGTTATTTTGAATCACTGAAGTGGCACACAGTCCCGCTTCTCTTCAAGTCTTAGGTCTCTACATACCTCTATATACCATGCTCCCTCAGATCTTTCCATCTTTTCTAAAGATAATGTATCTTCAAATATCTTATTTTGGGTTTAATCCGTTAAAATCTCATATGGCACTTTAAGCACCACCTTAACATCTTTGAGACTGACTACGCTATTTTTCTGTCAGAACTTTAAAAGATCCAGGAATTTAGCTATTTCTCTGCTTAGGGGTATCATTATTATAACCGTTGTAATCATCCGACGGTCATATTCATTTTAATTAATCTTTATCTCACTCTTAATGAAGAGTATCTTTCTTAATTGATCTTTATATCCCCCCTCGAAATATGGCATGAACTTTACTGCCATAATTTCGATAACTATTCAGAAAGCCTGTAAACGAGGAGACACTTATAACTTACTTCATTCACATGATTGTGTCATGTAAACAAAGTTATTTTTTGATCCATTTAGGAGTACACTTTCCTTAATTCACTTTAAGAACTCAACGAGATCTTTCATTAGCAGTACTTTTGCAAGTCATGATTGCATCTTTTCTTATCCTTTGGTTAGTATTGACCATGACGATGAATTTCTAATGTGCCATGGTCAATGCTCGGACAGCATAAGAGCTACCCAAACTTCTCTCGCTATGCGGGATACAAAACATGTGAATCATCATAAAACTTCTCCTGCTATGCATAATTGACTAGCATAAGTACTATGCCAAAACTTCTTCCCATGCGGGATACATCTATATGAAAACTTAGTCATAACGACTAAAACTTCACTTATACTTTATTTTTCAATTAAATCTTTCCGTTGGTTTCAATTTAATCAGAAAATTAGTAAACTAACAAAAAAATTATCACGAACTGGCTTGACTCAAGCCTTTTCATTCACATACCCCAGTATTGTAGCTCGTTGGCATGCAACCGAGTGATCTTGTCGGTTAAAATAAAACATACAATATGCTTCTGCATCAATTCTACATCACCGTTGGGCAGAAAATAGAATTAATGCATAAAAACTCATAAATCATACAACTACTCTTTAAAATTAAATTCTTTCGTTGATTCGAATTTAATTAGAAGATACTCAACTTTATTTCAGCAGAAGCACGTTAATAAAATACATTCTATTAGTTCAGGAGCATTTCTTGGTCTTTATCTACTCTCTGGAAAATTGACCATGTTGGTGTGAAATTTATCATAGACTTAAAACTCAAACTTGAACTTATTATAATGTTACAATATTTTCATCATCAACGTTGGTCAAAAATGACAATACCATAATCTGACTTAAACAAAATGGACTACTTCTCTAATTAAATTTTCTCATTGGTTCCAATTTAATTAGAGGATAAACATGATCATAATTTTCTAAATATAACTGTTCTTCAAATTAAATTCTTCCGTTGGTTCGAATTTAATTAGAAGATAATCAACTTTAAACTTTGCAGCGGAAACTTAAACATAATTTGTGAATTTTTACCCACAGGTAAACTCCTCTTTGCTATTTTCTTTGAGCCATTAATCTATATCCAGGAAATAAACAAAATTCTCTGAAAAAAAAGGAAAAAGGAAACAAAATGGACTCAAAACTATACTGTTTGCTCGGCCCGTCAAGAAACAGCAGCCCGGCTCGCTTTCTTTCAAGGCCAATGCCAATGCCTTCCCAGTGTCAGAACTCTCAGGCCTAGGCCGGCAAAGTTGCCCTCCGCGCGCGCCCACCTAGGCCGAAATCCAGCCCGATCACTCTGAGCCGTTCATCTGAGATCGACGGTCATGCGCCGATTTCGGCCAAACAAAAATGGCGCGTCGTCGATCGACTCCCAAAACCCTAGCCATTCTTTTCTCCCTCCCATTCTCTCTCAGCGCAGTCGAGAGGCAGAGCGCAGCGATGGCCGGAGGAACGTAACGGTGCCGCCGCAGGCCCCCTCGCCGACGCGCGCGTTCACCCGAGGGTGAGCGCGCCGCCGTCGAGCGGCCTTGTGGTGGTGCTCTGAACGCGCACGCGATCGCGGGGAACGTCGGCGAGCCGGCGTGGCTCGGGTGGATTCCGCGCGGTGGCGGGGTCACCTTCCCGCACGACGGTGGTGGCGACAGCGGTGAGAGAAACCCGGGTAGGTCCCTTCCCCTCTCCGTCCTTCTTCTAAGTTAGGGTTAGGGTTCGGGTTCGGGGTCGAACCCTCTGTTCATCTTCCCTGACTTCTTTTCGCATGAGTTAGGGTTAGGTTTCATGTCTGGGTCGATCCGAATCAGACCGAATTGAGCCCTCTTTCTTTGGTTGTTCTTCCCCTTCTAGGGTTAGGGTTAGGAACCCTCTGCTTCGATCCGAATTAGATCTCTCATCTCCTTCTTTCTGTCTCTTACCCCACGCGCCCACGGCAGCTCGGGGTGGCTTCCTTACCGCACGCTGTCGAAGCAGCGGCGCGGTCTTCTTCCCGCGTGACGGCGGTCTTTTTCCTTAGAGTTAGGGTTTTGGTTCTAATTCTGTTTCACTTTTCTACCCCAATCTACAATCTACACACTAGAAAAAACCTGGCTCTAGTACCATTGATAGATGAATTGTACCTCTAAAACGTAGATCAGGGGATAATCTAGACTTAGATGAGAGAGTTGTTCATGTACCTCGCCCTAGCGCAGTTGCGTCCATGGCGCCGTAGCGATGTGGACGCCGGTGCCGTGGCAGCGTAGACGCGGTGGAGTCCAGAGGGCGGGGGGCTACCGGCGGCGCTTCCCGTCACTTGCAACGCTGTCCACGATCGGAGGGGATTCTAGGGTTCTTCAGTAGGGTCCAGTTGCGGCGTCGAACCTTGTGTATAGCGCCCTGGCCCCCACCTCCTTCTTATAGCGCTGTGTGACAGGGGCCCGCCGACCAGTGGTCGGTTGTGTGTCCCCGATTAGGACACGGTCAAGGGGTCCGACTCAGTCATTGGACTGAGTCGGATGAGATCAATCCTAACACACCCATGGCGTCTCTGTGCCACCAGCTGCACGGCTCTTAGGGTCAAGTGTTGTGACATGCTCCTGCTCCTGCCGGGCCTTCTCAAGCACGGTGTCCGGCACGGGCATGAAGCTCTTGAACCGCTTCTTCTTGTTGCGCACCGAGTAGTCCCCAATCTCCGGTATGCTCTCCCATTCCTGCGCGGATAGATCGACCAGCTTCCTTTTGAGATCAGCAAACTGCTCGGTGATCTTAGGGTTCGACGCGCGGTACTCCTCAATCTCCTGCTTGAGCCACGCCTCGCGGCGATCCTTGCGGCGCGAGTCCATCCTCTGGTCGATGCTCTCCCACACGGCGTCGGCCTCGCGGTCGTCGTCGTCATAGTCGGCGTTGGAGAAGAGGCCGGCGTCGTTGCCCTCGAACTCGTTGAACTTCTTGTTCTTGTCGTTGCCCTTCTCCTCATCACCGCCGTCATCGCCGCCGCCGTCATCCTCGCCGGGAGGCTTTCTGCCGCTGCGGCCGACGGCGGGGGCCGCGGCGGCGGAGGCGGAGCGGTCGGGTAGGTCGGGTGCGGCGCGGGCCGGCCCGATATCCGAGCGGGTGGTGAAGCCAGTGGCGCCACGGCCGAGTCCCGCGACATAGTTGGGCAGCGGCTTGGAATTGAGGAAGTCGTGCCGCGTGGGACGAGCGGCCGGTGGCGGCGGGAGCGGGGTCGGGGTCGGTGTAGGGGTCGGGGTGGTGCCTGACATGACACTGATAACTGGGTAGGTGGGGGAGGATGAGGGACGAGGAGCGTGGGGCGGTGGCGGCGCCGGCGAGCACGCCCGCTAAGGAGTATGGTTCTTTTTTTTAAAAAAAAAGGTATGATTGATATGTTGCTTTCATGTTCATCTATACTTGATTTTAGTACAGACGTGTTACCCTGCTTCCATTTTCTTTCGGATATGGGGCTCCTAGAAACTAGTAGACCAACTAAGGGCGTGTTTGGGACTTCCATTTTTTTCAGCTCCACGCTTTTTAGCCAAACGGATATGGGTGGAGTTGTGAGAGCACCTAAAGAGGTACTCCACAAACTCCAATTTTTTTGTGAAAGTTTGTGGAGCAAAGTTTGTGGAGCAGTCCTAAACACCCACTAAAACATTGAAGAATCAAGCCATGTTTTCACTTCTATAGAAAAATTAACCCGTCTGTTTGTATAATGTTATTTATTCATTCAATTTTAAACTACTTCCTCCATTCTAAGACAGTCTCCATCTCGCACCTCGAGAAGTCAAAACCAATCGTAGCTTGGACTAAGTTTTTTTTAAAAAAAAATAAGTATCAAAATTTATATGTACAAACACATTAGATATAAATATGTACAAACACATTAGTATTTAAAAAAAATAGTATCAAAATATGCAGGAGAGGGAAGATAAAAAATCAAACTTTACCCGGCTTCCTCTCGCTCCCATGGGCCCTGTCCTTGCGAGTTGGAGGAGCTGAGGAGGAACCGATGCTGGTGACGAAGCTGCTCCTTCATCAACGGGTGAGCTAGGGCACGAGATGGGAGTGGCGGTCGACGGAGGAGGACCGACGCGGGGATGAGGAAGGCGCAGGAGGGCCACTGCTCTTAGAAGCTCCAATCAAGTGGAAGGGATCGCTCTCTGGTGGCTTCCATCGTCCACGACATCAAGAGACAAGAATTTCATCTATTTTTTACGACTTTATTCGTGTCAGTAGATGAGTACAGCTGGAGCTAAATAAAGTTACTTCATCAAAGAGGCCGAAGCCAAGACCATTTTAACCCAAGCCGAAACTCTAGCTAACAAGTGAGCCCTAAACAAGGTTATCTAGACCCGTTCGCTTCGCTGAAAAAACAAACCGAAATACTGTTTCGGCTGATTTGTCGTGAGAGAAAAATACTAAAAACAAGTTGTAAAGTGCGGATTATAAAATAAGCGAACAAGACCGAGATCGAGGACCTTTTCTGTTAGTTATTTACTCGCACTACGGCACTAGCTAACCTGGTACTGGTAGGCAATGCAAGGGTTCTCAGCACGCATTTCATTAAGAAGTTGCAAGGCATGACACCGGTAACCAGTAGATTACCGAGGCGCCTGCCCAAGGACACTTAAAAAAGAGAAGTGCTTACACTGAAACCGATACTACAGAAACACGGGTAGCGACCTCAAATGCCTGTAACCTGCTTGCATCCACACCGAAGCCTCGTCGACGATGGACTGAGTTACCTGCTGAGCTGAGGAGTCCCCCTGGAAAGTTCTTCCATTTCTTTTCTTCCAAACGGTCTAGCTGACCAGCATAACAATGGTGTCGAAGCCTCTCCTGCCAAGCTTGGCGACCATCTTCCTTGTGTGCAACCACCAGATAATGAACTGGCTTTGTTGAGTTGCGGACTCTTTTCAGTTCCGGATTCGCAGCGCCGACACGAGGCCTCTTCGGAACCGGCCCGGTGAAACAGACGCACACACGGCCTCTTTGGAACTGGCTTCCTTCATGATGGTTGCTTTCCCGTTCTTCTTCTTGACCTTGAGGCAGATTTTACGGGGTGAGGCGTTACCGCCATCTGCTGGGCCGGACGACATGGATGCTGCTGCAGCAGCTGCTTCGTCCTCGGACTTGGGCTCGTTGAGGCGCTTGATGAGCAGCTCGGGCACTGTCAGCAGCACCCCTGATGCTACAACAGATGATGCCGCTGATGGTCCGGAAGTCTGCCCCAGTAACGCTGGCCCTCCTTCGCCGAGGCCCAAGAGACAGGCGTGGACCAACTCCAGGGTGCCCGGGCCCATGTGGCAAGCATAGCTGAGTATATGAGCCGAGTGCCGTGAACGAGAGAGGACAGCAAAGAAGTGAACCGTATATTCATTCTTGTATTACAAGCACTTAGCCTACAATACTTGTTCTTCTTCCTTGCCAAGCATACAATTCATAGATGTGTCTCACAATTGGTATCAGACTAGGCCGATCTGAATCCCGCGTCGCCGCAACCGCACGAGCACTTCACCCGGCTCCGCCGCACTCAGGGTGCCATGGATCCCCACCTGAAGCTGGTCCTCGACGAGCTCAATCGCCGGTTCGACGAACAGGATGAGAAGTGGGAGCGGCGCTTCTCCAATCTGGACCGCGACCGCGCCGCTCACGACTCGACGGTCGACGGCCGCCTCGCCACCCTGGAGGCTACCTGCTCCGACCTGGACTCGATTTGGCTCGCCCACACCAACGAGTCACGGCTCTGGAGGTGGCGGCCACAGACCTCGGGACTTGGCGGCCGGCGGTAGAGGCGCTCGTGGACGATCTCAGGCTCGAGGTGAAGCACATCTCCGACAACTGGGACCACACGCTGGGCTCCTCGTCGACTCGCCAGCTCGGCCCCTCCCCGTCCCCGTCGTCGGCAGCCGCGACGGCCAGTTACCGGACCGCCCACCGATGGAACCAACAGGCACAGCTCTGCATCGATTCCATGGGGTACTGGATCCAGGGTCGTCACGACCTGGAGTCATATCCCGGCCAACGGTACGACGTCTACTCCTCACCCTCCGCCGATTTCATCGTCAGTTGTAGTGTTGGATCGTCCTCCTCCCATTATCGTTCCGCCTCGCCCTCCAATTTGGCCGGTACAACCCATCTTACCCACCGCCGGTCAATTTTCCCCCACCACAGCCGAATCCACGTAGCTTTCATCCGCCATACTCCATTTCACCGAGTTGTCCCCATACCAGTCCAATTCAACCGCATTTTTCTTCACCCCTTCCGGCTCCTCCCAATTTTGTCCAACCCAACCCACTTCACCCAAATTTTTCTTCACCATTTCCTGCTCCTCCAAATTTTTCCATTCCTTCTTCTGTTCCACCAATTTTTCCGCCTTCTTCTTCTTCAGTTATTTCGTCAGTTTATCCACCAATTACTTCAGTTTCACCCGTTTTTCCACCACATCCTACAATTCCTCCTAATTTCGCCCACCATAAGCCTCCAGACTCTTATTCTCACTCCTCTATGTTAGGTCGCCTTCCTAAGCTTCCCTTCCCCAAATTTGACGGTGACAATCCACGCTTGTGGTGTCGTCGTTGTGAGAAGTATTTCGCTATGTATGGCGTGGAGGAGTCTTTGTGGATCAGTGTGTCTGAACATTATCTGGAAGGCACTGCAGCACGCTGGTTCCAGTCCATCAAATCCCAAATTCGTTCTGCCACTTGGTCTACTTTCTGTCAATTGTTGCATGATCGTTTCGACCGTGACCAACATGAGCTGTTGATCCATAAGCTGTTTTCCATCAAACAGCTTACCTCTGTCTCTGATTATGTCACACGTTTTACTGAACTCGTGGATCAGCTATCAGCTTACTCCAATTCTACCAACCCTGTCTATTATACCATGCGCTTTATCGATGGGTTGTTTCCAGAGATTAAAACAGTTGTGTTGGTTCAGCGTCCACAAAACCTCTATGCTGCTTGTGTTTTGGCATTGTTGCAGGAGGAAGCGGGGGCTGCTACTCCAACCAAGCAGTCTCGTTCTGGTGATTGGTATGCGTCGTCCAAGTTCCAGCATCCTCCTAGGACGCCATTGCCACTTCCTCCGCCACCCCATGCTGACAAGGGACCAGCCCCAGCTCCTGGTCCTGCGGTGGCGGCTCCTGCAGTTAAGCATTCCTCCAGTGCTGATCCCAAGCTTCAGGCGGTCAAGGCTTATCGGAAGGCTTTGGGTCTCTGTTACAAGTGTGGGTGCGGTTCTGCAGCAGCGAGGACACCCTTTGGCTTTTATCAGTAAGGCCCTGGGGCCTCGCAATCAGGGTTTGTCCGTCTATGAAAAAGAGTACATGGCCATTCTTATGGCAGTGGATGCTTGGCGCAATTACTTGCTGCAGTCGGAGTTTATTCTGCACACTGACCAGAAGAGTCTCATTCACCTCAATGAGCAGCGGCTCCACACGCCATGGCAACAAAAGGTCTTTACACGATTGTTAGGGCTCCGCTACAGGATTGTCTATCGTCGTGGTGTGGAGAATGATGTTGCTGATGCCTTGTCACAGCGGCCACATCTAGAAACTCTTCTGGCCCTGTCATCTCCCACACATGATTGGTTGGCTTCTTTGCAACAGTGGTATTCTATAGACTCGAAAGCAACAGCCTTGCTTACTCAGTTATCTCTTGATTCTGTGGCCCGACCTCCTTTCAGGTTGCGCCAAGGTGTTATTTTATACAAAGGGCGCATTTGGCTGGGCTCTAATACTGCTTTGTAGAACAAGGTCATATCAGCCCTCCATGACAGTGCTGTGGGTGGTCATTCCGGCTTCCCGGCTACTTTTGCCAAGGTCCATCAGCTCTTCTATTGGCTCGGTATGTGTGCTGCCATTCATCAGTATGTGCAGTCCTGTGCTGTCTGCGCCCAAGCTAAGCCAGATCGCAGCAGTTATCTAGGTCTCTTACAACCTTTACCTGTACCCAAAGCATCCTGGGAAGTGATCTCAATGGATTTTGTCGAAGGTTTGCCGACATTTGGTTCTGCCAATGTTATCATGGTGGTTGTCGACAAGTTCTCCAAGTTTGCCCATTTCATTGCTTTGCGCCATCCGATCTCTGCTGCATCTGTGGCATGAGCATTCCTGGACCATGTCTATAAGCTACACGGTTTACCTCTGGCAATTATCTCTGACCGGGACCGACTGTTCACAAGTAAATTTTGGCAATTGCTCTTCAAGCTGGCAGGGACAGATCTTCGAATGAGCTCTGCGTATCATCCCCAAACGGACAGGCAAACCGAACGTGTCAATCAGTGCATGGAGACTTATCTTCGCTGTTTTGTCCATTCATGTCCGCGGCAATGGTCTCAATGGCTGTCGATGGCTGAGTTTTGGTATAATACCTCGTTGCACTCCGCCTTGGGTCGCTCTCCATTTGAGGTGTTATATGGGTTTCCACCACGGCATTTGGGACTAGATCTTTCTGCAGCAGCACCAGTTCCTGAACTCCAACAATGGGGCTGACTGATAGAGATCTCATACAGCGATTGGTTCAGCAGCACCTTCATCGCGCTCAGCACCGTATGAAACGGCAGGCTGACAAGCATCGCACTGAGCGTTCCTTCAATATTGGTGATTGGGTATTCCTTAAGCTTCAGCCTTACGTACAGTCCTCTGTTGCTGCTCGCTCCAACAACAAGTTGTCCTTCAAGTTCTTCGGCCCCTTTCGCATCCTCAAACGAGTTGGAAAGGTTGCCTATCACCTGGACTTGCCAGCGTCTGCTGCTGTACATCCAGTGTTCCATGTCTCCCTGCTCAAACGGTCTCCAGGTTCCCAGCCGGTGAGTCCGTCCATTCCATCTGCACTGACTGAATTTCAAGTTCCTGAGAAGCTGTTGCAGTGGCGTTGGTCATCGGGTGAGCGGCCAATTCATCAAGTCCTTGTCAAGTGGTCGCACATGCCGGTTTTCCTGGCCACCTGGGAGTCAGTTGAAGAGCTTCGTCGCCAGTTTCCCCGGTCAGCGGCGTGGGGACACGTCGGCACTCAAGGAGGGGGGATTGTCAGCAGCACCCCTGGTGCTACAACAGATGATGCCGTTGATGGTCCGGAAGTCTGCCCCAGTAACGCTGGACCTCCTTCGCCGAAGGCCTAAGAGACAGGCGCAGCCCAACTCCAGGGTGTTTGGGCCCATGTAGCAAGCATAGCTGAGTATATGAGCCCAGAGTATATGAGCCCAGTGCCGTGAACGAGAGAGGACAGCAAAGAAGTGAACCGTATATTCATTCTTGTATTACAAGCACTTAGCGTGCAATACTTGTTCTTCTTCCTTGCCAAGCATACAATTCATAGCTGTGTCTCACAGGCACCACCCAGTTGGACACGAAGTAGAAGAGCAGCATCAGAGCACTGACCGGGACGAGCGAGGAGACGTCACCGGTGTCGGCAGGGGAGCCGGGCACCAGCTTGGGGCTCAGGATCTCGTTGATGACTTCCGCGGACGGCAAAGCCCGGATCCTGCCAGCGCACGGCTGCCGCTGCTGATGCTGATGCTGCTCCTCCCTTCCGCCACTGGCCATGAGCGGGAGCAGCAGCTGCTGGACACTGCAGGGAGACATGGGAGGTGGAGCGGATGATGAGCACCGCAGCCGTCTCCATGGATGGATCAGAAAGATACTTTTAGCTACTGATGAGGTGTGAGCCTGAGCGAGAGCTCTTAGCGGCGGTGTGTATGGATGGATAATGGATTTTGAGTAGTAAGCCTGAACCTCACCCGTCGCTGGGCAGGGCAGTCGAGCCTTTAAATTCATCTTGGTGTGTCACTTTTGCAGCGCCGCGTCGAGCCTGCCGTCACCGCCGGAAAATCTTGGTGACGACTTGCATCTGTCGGATTGGGAGCCACAGCAGATCAGGGTGAAACGATTGCGCCTCAATGCAAGTTTCACCCGGTTACCAAGATATTGGAAACGCTGCGCAAACGTTTCATCGCCATGAAACGATGATCTCCTCTCTCCTCGTAATTACAGCGCCATGTCACCAAATTTGCTGATATGGCACCTCATTTAATGACATGAAACTCCATCGAGACTGGCCTATCTGCGCTCGCTCGCGGCAATTACTCCTAACTCACTAACCCCGGCCGGCCGGCCCGTTTTATTATTACTATAATCTGTCTCGGGCATCGTCAGTTCAGAGAGGTCCTTGACAAAGAAACTTCCACCAGCTCCAAGCCACCTCAATTCTCGCTGTAATAAAGCCTGTAACTGTGATTTTTTACGGGCCCTCTTCTTGTCTTGCTTGTGCTTGTGCACGCTAGTAGTACCTACCGATCTCAGGCTGTTCGGTTGGCTAGTTTGTATTGTTGCTGGTTCGTAAAAAAATACTGCTGACTGATTTATGTGAAAGAAAAATACTGTTTTCGACTGAAAATTTACGATCATTCACAGTAAGTCACAGCCAAACAAACAGTACGTATGTACTCCTTTGGCTGTTGCATCTGAATCTGCAGCTACCTAGCCTGGCCGTGCATGCTAATTACGGCGGCGTCGCGGACATCAGTACGACGTGTGCCCCTCCAGATTTCAGACTGACAAAATTAATACTGAAGTACTTAGTGCGTACATACTATAACCTGCTGCAGGTACGGTACTGCATCATTTCAAGAGAGAATGCATGTCAAGCAAGGCATTCGTTCATAGGAGTACAATCTATCGTCATGGCAACCATGATGATGTCTGAATTCCTGATTCGATGGGATGGAGGCATCCAGGGATATGATATCCACTGGCTACCCTACCCGCCGTGATCGTCGTCCTCAGGCCACCTGCTGGGCGAGTGCTCTCGCCTCGCCTGCTTTTTAGTACTAGGCAGCACGTACGCCGTACGGTGCCACTGCTCTCGATCTGTTCCTACAATGGCGAGCCGAGCCTAGGCCTTGTTTAGATTGAAGAAAATTTCAACCCGATGAATAATAGCATTTTCATCTTATTTGGTAAATATTGTCCAATCGTAGATCAACTAAGTTCAAAAGATTCATCTCGTGATTTCCAACTAAACTGTGTAATTAATTATTTTTTTACCTACATTTAATGCTCCATGCAAACGGCTAAAAATTGATGTGATGGAGAGAGAGTGAAAAAGGTTGCTTTGGTTCCATGCATGTGCATGTTCAGTTTGGTCAAGTTTCTTCCATTCATTCGTTCAAAAAGTTTCCTTCATTCTCGCGATCTCCCACGATAATATGATTCTGACGGCCGGCTCTGTCGTCTGAAATAAACCCTGAGGATTATCCCCTCTCAACCTGTTCCTCGTTGTAAAATTCACAAGAAAAATGAAATGATCCACCGCGCATGCATGCATGCGCCATGCGTTCCAATAATTTCCAAACATCCATGATGCTCGAGCTGCATTTGCATTGACGAAATGGAGAAGACACAACATGTTCGCGAACGAACGGAAACGGAAACTTGTCACGAACAAACAAGCTATGCATGCATATCTTACATAGATCGATCGGAAGAAGACGATCGAACAAACAAGCTAACGTACGGCGACGGATGGATGGGTAGGGGTCGGTCATGAGCTCAGGGCTCGCCGCTGCCCAGTACGGCCTCCCAGACGTCCTCGAAGGCGGCGAGGATGGCCAGGTGGTGGCGCGGCGAGTTGAGGGACAGGTACCACACCAGGAGCTCGCTGAGCGCGTCGGCGCCGCGGATGCGCCGCCCGGCCACCATCTCCGCCATGGAGCTCCGGAAGTCGGCGTACGGGTTGCGCGACAGCTTCACCACCGCCGTGCTGCCCGCGGCCGCAGACGATGCCACGGCGCTGCCGCACCCGCACCTACTGCCATCACCCGGCTTCCTCTCCTTCTTCTTCTTCTTCTTCCCGCGGTGCTCGCCCGCCGGCGGCCGGAACGCGTCGGCGGTGGCGGGTTGCCTGCTGTTCACGGGCCTCGGTGGCGGCGGCGGTTTTTTCTTTCCGCGCCGTGGTCTTGTGCCGCCGCCGCTGCCGCCGTTTTTATTGGTGGTGCTGTACAGGTCGGAGGTGGAATCGGAGGAGAAGCTAAGGCTGCGGGAAGAGAAGAGCGTGTACGACCTCGCCCTGCCCGCCGGCCCCTCCTCCTCCCCCTCCCCGTCGCTGCTGAACGGCGCGGCCTCGCCGTCGGTGTCGGTATCAGTGGCCGCCGCCGACGACGACGACCAGCTCCATCCGTAGCCGTACGAAGGCGAGCGCGGCAGCCTGGTCCTCCCACCCCCACCGCCCTTTCCCTTGCTCCTCATCGGCACCGGCACCGAAGGCTGCAGGACCGCTGCGGCGGCGGCGGCGGCGGCAACCGACGAGCGCCCGGAGCATTCGATGGAGATGTGGACGAGCGCCCGCGTGCCGCGGCGCGGGTGACGCCGGCGGCTGCTGCTTCCGCCGCCGCCGACGGCCCCGGACGGCCGCGGGTCGTAGGCGTGGGCGCCCCGGGGACGAGCGCGAGCAGGACGAGGCGGTTCTGCCGCGGCGTTGGTGGTCGTGGGCGTGGCGAGGCCGATGAAGGCGGTGGCCGAGGTGGTGGTGGCGGCGCACGACGTGTGTAGGAGCATCTGCGCCAGCCGCTGCCTCAGCCGGCCGCCCACGCCCACGCCGGCCTGCTTGTCGTGGCGGCGGCTCTTGTCCATGGAGGAGAAGCAACTCGATGGCACGACACAGTGCAGGCGATCGTGCGCGTCTTGTGGTCTCTGCGTCTCGCGATGGCGCGGAGGGGTTTAAATAAAACACTTCCTTATCTGATTTATTTATTTATTTTTGTTGTTCATTCACTCAATTTTACAGTAGTAGTTTCACTGTAGAAAAAGAATCTATGAGTCATCTTTTTAAGGCTTTTGGCATGTTTAGTTCCCGGATTTGGGAGTGGCCAAATAATTAATGCGTTACTGTAGTGTTTCGTTTGTATTTGTGAATTATTGTCCAAACATTGACTAATTAGGCTCAAAAGATTCGACTCGTAAAGTACAACCAAACTGTGCAATTAGTTTTTTATTTCGTCTACATTTAGTACTCCATGCATGTACCGTAAGTTTGATGTGACGGGGAATCTTCTTTTTGCATAGTGCATTTTTCATGAGTTTAGTGGGAACTAAACTTAGCCTTTGTTTGGACGTTGTCAGATTCACCTCAATCCACGTATATTTTTAGATTAGGATGAAATTAAGTTCTACTCCAATCCACCCCAACACACGTGGATCGAGACGAATCCGACTATATTCAAACAAAACCTAATGGTCTAATCCGTTGTTTAATTAATAAGACCATTATCTAAAAAATCCACAGTTGAAATATTAGCTAATTAACTCCCGCTGCACGTGTCCTGTAGGTAATCACCAAACGGATTTGGCGCGAACTTGTTTCCATTTCTGCCTGGAATATGATTAATTTTGGCAATCTCGCGAGTGGCTGTGCCCAATGTCGTCAAAACAGAACATGATGATCACTGAAACGAACCTGACGTGATGATATTGGCACCTGGGTCAGGCGGTCAGCTAGCAAGCAGTGGCAGTGCAATGCTGGCGATTCCCCGTGTTGCGCGCGTGCGCTCTCTGCGGCGCGCGCCACTGAGACTGCTCGTCGACGCTGTGCGCTCACGGCACGGCACTGCTGACTGCGCTATGCTGGCCGCCTTGTCGTCGACCCGCAGTGCTGGCGGTTCCCAGGCATGATTCCGAGCTTTACTATTCTTCCTCGTCTCGTCCAGCAGATCCGATCCAATCGTGGATTATAAGTTCGAATAGTTTTTTTCTCTCACACCAAACCAACCAGCAGTAAATAATCTACGATCATTTACAACGAAAACAACAGGCCGATAATAGTCCAATCTCCACCGAGCACAGTGGCACATCACCGATCGAAGAAATTATGAGAGGGTAGCTAGGGGAGGAGTCAAGAGCAGCATCAGTAATTCCATGGAAACAACAGAGGGCAAGACAAGCAGGGAATCTACAACGAGATACTCCTATATGCTATGCATCAGGCAAAGCTCCGATCCAACAGGCAGGCAGAGGTTTAAAAAATGTCTCTGATGCTGTTACGTCTCGCACCAGCAAAGCAATCCAGCATGTTCGCTAGCTAGCTACGCAGTACTGTACACGTACGTAGAGTATTTTGCTGTTACATTACACCTTGCATGCACCAACTATTAGGATGCTGTGGTGTGTACCTTTTTGTGACCGTAGGATCGGGTAAGCATCCTCATCTTCCCTGTTGACCCACCTAAGTGGGTAGACACCGATGTTGTCGGTGTAGCAGGAGTCGTCCAGCGCGGTGGAGAGAAGTCCAGTGGCGCCGGCGGAGAACCTGCAGGGGCGACGGCGGTGGTGGGGCACATCCCGGCGCTTCCAGCACTACTTTAGATCGGTTTTAGGGTTTCTCTGTTGAGTGGGTGGCGGCTCCAATGAACTTCGTAGTCCGAGCCCTCACCCCCACCTTATTTTTATGTGTGCTGTGCGACAGGGGCCCACCAACCAGATTAGGGTTGGGCTCCCCCGATTAGGGAGCAGAGATAAGGGCCCAATAGGCCGTTGAGCCTATTGGTGGAGATCAACTAACATTCTCCTACTTGATCTCATTCCATCTTTCACTTTCATATCATTTACTTTTGTTCATTCCATTACAGATTAGCTCATAGAGCATGTCTCATCGTCACGGTCCATTGCCGATAGACTTAACAGCTACAACTCACTACTCTGTTCTGAAATAGATACTTATCTTTGGGCCTTCTTTTGTCCAGGAATATTTTAGGCTTTCCCTTAAACCCAAGCTAGCTACATGTTCTCTGAATACCATGTCCTCTGAACATGTTGGGTGGTAAGCCTTTTGTAAGCGGATCCGCGAGCATCCTTTCTGTTCTTATATACTCAAGACTTATGACTTGATCCTGGACTTTATCTTTCACAACATAATACTCAATGTCAATGTGTTTGGCAGCACCACTTGACTTATGTTGTGAGCATACTGTACTGCCAGATTATAATTGCAGTATTACTTTAAGTGGTCTATAGATGTCGTCAACCACCTTCAAACCGGGTATGAACTTCGTTAGTTAGTTCACCTGCCCGTTGCCTCATAACACGCTACAAACTGTCATACATTGTGGACGATGTAGTGACAGTTTGCTTTGAGCTTTTCCATAAAATATCTCCCCTTTACGAGATGATAGAAAATCCACGTCTGGATATGCATTCACTCTCGCATAATCAGAATCTGAATATCCCACCATGTGGAGTGAATCAGATCTTCTATATGTCATCACGAGGTCTTTCGTTCCTTGCAAATAATGCAAGATTTTCTTTACTTATTTCAGTGTTCTATTCCAGAATTGCTCTAGAATCTGCCAAGTAAAACCCGGTAACAAATGCCAAGTCAGGGCGCGTACATACTTGAGCATGTTGCAAGCTTCCAACAGCTGAAGCATATGGAACCACTTTCGCTTTATCGATTGAGCTCATATTGGTTCCTGGGGCATTGAAAATCCCCATATCTGTCGCCCTTGACTATAGGAGCAGGTGAGGGACTACATTTGTGCATACTGAATTTCTTTAAGATCTTTTCCATGTATGCCTTTTATGACAGTCCTTATACCCTTTTTTTCTTCTATCTCGGTGAGTCTCGATCCCTAGAATGAACGAGGCTTCGCCAAGATCTTTCATATCAAATTTCTGTCTCCAGTAGTAGACTGACATCACTACTAGCAAGTAAGATATCATCTACATACAGGACAAGGAAGATAAACTTCCCATTCTTAAACTTTGTATTGACACAATTGTCATCTACATTATCTTTACTTTGTATAGACACAATTGTCCTCTACATTCTCTTTAAAACCCAAAATCATTTATTGTCTTATCAAACTTCAAGTACTAGTGTCTTGAAGCTTGTTTTAATCCATGAATGGATTTCTTTAGACGGCATCCCGTTCGTTCTTTTCCTTCCATAACAAAACCTTTCGGTTGTGCCATGTAAACATTTTTCTCCAAGTCTCTGTTGAGAAATGTCGTCTTTACATCCATATGATGTAATTCTTAATCGTAATGTGCCACTAATGCCATTATGATTCTGAAGAAAACTTTACATGAGACTGGAGAAAATGTCTCATTGTAATCAATCCCTTCTCTTTGCATAAAGCCTTTTGCCACAAGTCACACTTTATATGTCTTTATATTCCCTTGAGAGTCATGTTTAGTCTTGTAGACCCATTTACAGCCTACTGTTTTGACTCCTTTAGGAATTATTTCCAAATCCCAAACTTTATTGACATTCATCGATTTTATTTCATCTTTCATTTGAAATTCCTTAGTGTTATACACTTCATAATCAGCAGAAATAGCTGATTTTCTAACTCTTTGAGACCTACTAGGGGCCTTCACATTTGGCACATCTTCTATTTGAGGCTGTTGTTGCTCCCCCTCATGTGTGGCAATAGGTTCTATAGAATCTTGAAGAACAGGTTCCTCATCGTCATTCATTGTTGCCACAGGTGGGATAACAACAGGTGCTGGCACCACAGTATCTAGCACTGTCGGTGCAGCTACAGCAGGTAGTGAGAAAAATGGCTCATGAATCATTGGAGTGGGCGCATACACCCGCTTCACTTCAAGGACAATTTCTCGAGCTACCATCCTCCCCCTCATCTTTTCATCCTCTAGGAAGACAGCGTGTCTCGTTTCACAAACTTTGTATGTCTCCCTGGATAGTAGAAAACGGAAACCTTTTGACTTTTCTAGGTAGCCAAAGAAATGACACCTTACTGTTTTGGGATCTAACTTCCCAATATTTGGGTTAAATACTTTAGCCTCAGCAAGGCTCCCCCTCCACACAAGTGGTTTAGTGAGAGCACTCTTTCTGTCCACAACTCATACGGTGTTTTGGGCACCGACTTACTTTGTACTCTTTTGAGAGTATGAATGGGGTTTTAACGCCTCCATCCACAGGCTCAACTGTAAGGTGGAGTAACTTATCATACTGCCCACCATATCCATCAGGGTGCGATTGATTCTTTTAGCTACTCTATTCTGCTGAGGTTCGCCCGGTGTAGAATACTAGGCTACTATGCCATTCTTTTAGGATATGCCGACCGTGGTACTCCCCCACGATCAGACCTGACTATCTCAATCTTTAATATCTTAAATTTATCCAATACATCTTTTCTTTCTTTGATTGGATAAATATAGCCATAATGGGAGTACTCATATGTGAATGTTATGAACGAATCATTACCATCCACACTCTTTACAGGAAAACTGACCACAGATGTCTGTGTGAATAATCTATAAAACTCCTGCACTTCATTTGGGTATGCCGATCGTGGTACTCCCCCATGATCAGACCTGACTATGTCAATCTTTAATATCTTAAATTTATCCAATACATCTTTTCTTTCTTTGATTGAATAAATATAGCCATAATGGGAGTACTCATATGTGAATGTTATGAACGAATCATTACCATCCACACTCTTTACAGGAAAACTGACCACAGATGTCTGTGTGAATAATCTATAAAACTCCTGCACTTCATTTGGCATCTTTCTTAATCTTCTTTATATACTTTCCTTTTATGCATTCTCTATATTGTTCTAAATCTGAGAGCTCTGATGGAGGAAGAATATCATTCTTAACTTGTCTTT